TCGAAGTCACTATCATCATCATCATCATAGTATCCATGTTCACCATGATCTTGTGACTCATCATTTCCTAGAGAGGGTAATTCATTAGATAAATGATCATCAAAGTGGTCACCTTTATGAATTCTTATAGCATATGATATCACTAATGATTCCAACATCTCCTTTAGCATGCTTAAGATTGGTAAGTTCAAATAGACAATTACCAAAACTAGGATCACTAGAGTTCATCTTACTCAAGGCAATAGATTTATGGAGAATTTCATCCAAAGTTTTCAAGGAATGATCGGGAAATCGTTCCTCAAGAAATTTCCATATAGTATAGGCACAATTAAGAGTAGGCAAACTAGCAATCAAATTTTTGGGCAATCCTCTAATGATGAGCTCAATAGTTCTAAGATTGCGAATCATGTCAATATCTTCATCTAGGGTAGGATGCAAAGGATCAATATGAGGTGCACAAGGGCTAGCAATATACTTGTTCAAATGATATTGATTGAAAATTACAAGCATCTCATTTTTCCACTCATGAAAATACTCTCCATCAAGAATAGGCACTCTATGTCTAAGACTCCCTAAGGTAGACACATCCATCTTCCTCCAATGGTGATTAAACCAAGGCAATGGAGACCAAAACTCTGATACCACTTGTAGGATCTTGAAGTAGATGTGTCTAGAGGGGGGGTGATCAGACACTTAATGCTAAAGTTGCAATTTTTAAGCTTTTCGGTTTAAGTGGAGTTTAGGCATAATTTCAACATTCACAATACATATCAAGCAAGCATGCAAAGAGTGTATAGGCAGCGGAAAATAAAGCATGCAACTTGCAAGAATGTAAAGGGAAGGGTTTGGAGAATTCAAACGCAATTGGAGACACGGATGTTTTTCCCGTGGTTCGGATAGGTGGTGCTATCCTACATCCACGTTGATGGAGACTTCAACCCACGAAGGGTAATGGTTGCGCGAGTCCACGGAGGGCTCCACCCATGAAGGGTCCACGAAGAAGCAACCACCCACGAAGGGTCCACGAAGAAGCAACCTTGTCTATCCCACCATGGCCATCGCCCACGAAGGACTTGCCTCACTAGCGATAGATCTTCACGAAATAGGCGATCTCCTTGCCCTTACAAACTCCTTGGTTCAACTCCACAATCTTGTCGGAGGCTCCCAAGTGACACCTAGCCAATCTAGGAGACACCACTCTCCAAGAAGTAACAAATGGTGTGTAGGTAATGAGCTACTTGCTCTTGTGCTTCAAATGATAGTCTCCCCAACACTCAACTCTCTCTCATAGGATTTGGATCTGGTGGAAAGAAGGTTTGAGTGGAAAGCAACTTGGGGAAAGCTAGAGATCAAGATTCATATGGTAGGAATGGAATATCTTGGCCTCAACACATGAGTAGGTAGTTCTCTCTCAGAAATAGGATGCTGGAAGTGTAGGCTTAGTCTGATGGCTCTCTCTACGAATGAAGAGGAGGTGGAGGGGTATATATAGCCTCCAAACAAAATCCAACCGTTACACACAGTTTTCCAATCTCGGTGGGACCGAATCAACAAACTCGGTCGGACCGAAAAGGTAAACCTAGTGACCGTTAGAGATTTTCGGTGGGACTGACATGCAACTCGGTAGGACCGATATGGTTAGGGTTTGGGCATAACGTAATCTCGGTGAGACCGAGTTTGGTAATAAGCTAACCAGAGAGTTGGTCAGGCAAACTCGGTGGGACCGATTTGCTCTTTCGGTGAGACCGAAAAGTTACAAAAGGGAAACAGAGAGTTTACATTGCAATCTCGGTGGGACCGATTCGCTCTTTCGATGAGACCGAAAAGTTACGAAAGGGAAACAAAGAGTTTGCAATCCCATCTCGGTGAGACCGAGATCCCTATTGGTAGAACTGAATTGCTAGGGTTTCTGGCAGTGGCTATGACAGGTGAAACTCGGTGGCGCCGGATAGGAATAATCGGTAGGTCCGAGTTTGGCTTTGGGTTTAGGTCATATGTGGAAGTGGGAAAGTAGCTGAGGATTTTGGAGCATATCATTAAGCACATGAAGCAAGAGGCTCATTAAGCAACACCTCATCCCTCCTTGATAGTATTGGCTTTTCCTATGGACTCAATGTGATCTTGGATCACTAAAATGTAAAATGAAGACTCTTGAGCTTGAAGCTTTAGCCAATCCTTTGTCCTTAGCATCTTGAAGGAGTTCCCGCAACCTTTAGTCCATGCCACTCCATTGTTGAACTTATCTGAAACATGCTAGGTAGAAATGTTAGTCCAACAAGAGATATGTTGTCATCAATTATCAAAACCACCTAGGGAGCACTTGTGCTTTCACGCATCTCATGGTGGAATTGGGCAAACTGTTCAAATGTGGCCGGGTCTTGGTGCAGGGGCTCAATATTTTCACCTTGATAATCAAATCCTTGGTCGAAGATACTCTCATCACGCTCGTCCTCGACGATCATGTTGTGCATGATCACACAAGCAGTCATCACCTCCCAAAGCTTCCTTTCATCCCATGACAGTGCAGGGTTTCGAACGATACCCCGCCAGGATTGAAGCACACCAAAAGCACGTTCCACATCCTTTCTAACACTCTCTTGCATTTGGGCAAATCTCTTTCTCTTCTCACCTTGGGGTTTCGAGATTGTCTTCACAAAAGTTGACCACTGATGATATATACCATCTGCTAGATAGTATCCCTTGTTGTAATGGTGGCCGTTGATCTCAAAGTTGACAGGTGGGGAGTGGCCTTCTGCAAGCATCGCGAAGACTGGAGAACGCTGCAGCACATTGATATCATTGTGAGAACCTGCCATGCCGAAGAAAGAATGCCATATCCAAAGATCTTGTGATGCCACCGCTTCTAATATGACAGTGCACCCGTTAACATGCCCCTTGTACTGGCCCTGCCAAGCAAATGGACAGTTCTTCCACTCCCAGTGCATACAATCTATGCTGCCAAGCATACCTGGAAAGCCTCTAGCTGCGTTGGTCACCAACAATCCCTCTGTATCAGCGGCAGTTGGCTGCCTCAAGTACTCTGGGCCAAAGACCTCGATCGCAGCCTGGCAAAACTTGTACATTGACATCAGACATGTTGTCTCACTCATACGCACATACTCATCCACCAGATCGCCTGGAATTCCGTATGCAAGCATGCGGATGGCCGCGGTGCATTTCTGGTAGGAGGAGAATCCAAGCTTGCCAAGGGCATCCGTCTTGCACTCGAAGTATGGGTCATGAGCAACCACTCCCTCTCGGATACGATTGAACACATGCCTGGCCATACGAAAACGGCGACGAAATTTATCCGGCCTGAAGAGCGGGGTGTTGGCAAAGTAATCTGCATAGAGCAGGGCGTGGCCTCTCTCCCTATTGCGGTTCAGGTTGGGAGCACGGCCAGGGACTGACCCCCTGTACCGAGGAAGCTGCCGTTGAATATGGTCGTGAACGACCAGTGCAGCCACCACAAGATCGTCATCATCCGACGACAAATCGTCCGATGAACAAAGGAAGTGATGGTAGAAAAACTCGTCTCCACTGTCCATACCTTTGTTGGCAAAAGGTCGAACACCTTGCGCTCGTAGTGGCGAAGAGGCCGCGATGATCACCTCGACGCAGCAGGGTGGTTGCCGGCCGGCTACAGGCCGCTCTGGAGCTCTCGTGGGAATCTGCCTCGGCCGCCGTGGTACGTCGCCGGCAGTCGTGTCCCCTCTGCCACCGGCAAGGATGGCGAGGGCCAAACCTCCTCCGATCGACGACCAAAACTATGGCGGAAGCGTGGGCGTGGTGGCGGCCATGTCGAGACGTGGTTTGGTACGGACGGCGGGGGGCTGCGCGGTGAGGAGGCGGCCGGAGAATAGCGGCGGCGCCGGCGGCGGGGCGGGGCAGGGAGAGAGGGTGAAGCGTTGGGAGCGGAGGGACTGCTAGTGTCCCCGACAGGCGGGCCACGGGGGGGACAAGGGCGTGCGTCGAGGCCGTCCGCGCGCGTCCGTTTCACCCCAAACCGAGCGCAAGTTTGGGCCGGGGATGGGTCGAAAACGGACGGAATCCGGACATTTGTCCGTTTGCGCTCGCACGCTGGGCGATCCCGTTTGTTCATTTTACTCCAAACGGACGGGGGCGGACAGGATAGGGTCGCGCGGTGGAGTTGGCCTAAACAGACGGGTAAACAGAGGAGAATGTAAGCTGCCAAAGTGCTGCTTGGAGACCAAAAGGACAGAAAGTAAAAGAGTGGATAGATCGGCTAAAGCGATTGGGCTAGAGCTACGGTTGCGCGGTCAACATGTATCTCGCAATCGATTCAAGATTGGTACGAAAATGACCGGGAATGTTTCGCATAAACTTGCAGGCTATATGTGAGAATTGTGTGTCTGAGACTGCCGACGTGCGCTAATATTTGACATAAATTTGCAAACTATCATGAAAATTATGTAGCTCAGACCACTTACATTTTCAGAAACGACATTAGTGAAGCAGAATTCCTGTAAAACCATCCTTTTGTAATATGATGCAAGCAGGAGTGCCTCAGTACAGCATACACATTAGTAACTCTGAATGTTATAAATCATAACTATAACAAGCATCAGTTCAGGTCAACCAGTAGCTCTACAACAAGCATCTTATAAGCTAATCCCGCAAAGTCTCAAATATAGCTTGGGGATCTTTACATACTGCTAAGGTAGCATCTCACACAAACGCAGGAAAAAGGAAAAAAAACACCATAGAGCACGGCAGCGGCCACGTCCCGACAAAGAAGACGAAGAAACTGTAGCCATCATGTTGAATCCTATGATACAATCCTACCATCTCAGCCAAAAATCTAATCGCACACATGAACACCTACTAATTATCTCCGGCCTATCATGTCACCTCCAGTTTATCTGAAAAAGTGCAAGAAATATTAGGTTTCGTGCTCTGTAATGGCAGTGGAAGCTAGTACCGGGTAGTTTTATGCCTTACATCAGCAGTCAGAAAGTGAAGCCGCGGCCTTCACTGCTTCACAAGTTTCCATTTGGTTTCTCACTATCAAGCGCTTTAAGCTTTTCCTGCAATCATTAGGAACGTCTCACATATATAATAACTACTACCAGCTTTGAGGATCTACACAATAGAAACAAACTTACATGTAAAGATGTATTTTCTGAGGTCAAGTTATCACACTTCTCCTGAAGTTGTTTCAATTCTTCCTTAAGTGAACTGTTCTCCTGCTTCAGCAAATCAGCTCGACTGGCTACTTCCTCCCATTCAGCCTGTAGTATAACACCATTTATAAGGCAACATATGTAATACATCGCAAATAAATAGTAAATTTCCATTAAGGCGTCCTTTTAGCATAAAGAAAAAAAATGTATGCACAAATTTTGGAGGATTGGGTCCCTATAGGAAAAATTCCTATGGTGCCGTTTGGAACAAACGAATAGCTAGCAGATCTGATACTGGTCGCTTGCAGTTGCTGAACTATACTCCGCTGAACTCTGTTTAAAATCCGTTGTAAAAAAAAATCCACGAGCGCAGGAAAGACTTGGTTAGCAAAATGGTAAAATAGACAAATGCTGGCTATGCAAAAGGGGTTGTCATAATCTACCGCAATGCCAAATACTGTTTTAAGCAGTCCATCTGAAGTCAATCCTGAGCTATCTCCTCATCTTATTGCAGTCTGCAACTAGAGAACCATCACCAATTGGTTCTTTTCTCCAACTTGATCTCTCCTAGATAAGTTATCAACAGTCCAAACTACCCTGAAGATGCACGTGCCCACAAATAACACTGAACCGTTCATGTGAATTATGCAAAAACTACAGACCTGCTTGCGCAATCTAGAGCGACGAGCTGATTCCCTGTTTGATTGCTTCCGTTTTTGTTTCTTCACTTCTCGTTCATCCTACATTAACAAAAAAAGCATACCTGAGAAAAAAGTACATGGCAGGGCCCTGGGATAAAATAACCAGGAGAACTAAAGCCTAAATAATAACAGACCTGTATGACCGGATCACTAAGAACGATATCACGAGAATTTGATGAAGGAGCAGATGTCGGTGCAGCGACAGCTTTGCCATGCATAGGTACAGAAGTAGGAGCACCCCAGTAATCCACTCCCATGCTTACACCAGTTGCTTGGCCAGGCATGGGAGGGGGAACAGGCCAATATGGCATCATAGGGTTAAGCACAACTGGCCCAGAAGATACTTGTGTGGGCTCAACTGCTGTGCCCTGAGCAGTGACTCCTTTATTGCTAGCATCTGGCCAAAAGAAACAATCAGATTGTAGTTATTTCCTAACAAAGATAACTTGGCAAGTACTCAATATATATGCATTTTATAAGATTCATAGTACTTCCTCAATCCTTTTCTCCCCGGCCCCCGCTTCCCAATGAGGCGCTGAGTACCAATTTTTAAATATTACACTAGAGGAGATTTTAGGACCTACCATTACCCGGGCCGTGCTCAGAACCATCCTTTGTGTGTGAACCCTGCAGGCAAATTATTCGTTTATGTCGGTCTTAGGTAAGCATGATGACGGTAATATCAACCATACAGGTCAAAAATCGGAAAGTTTGGTGGTTTCTCATGCCAAACAAGACCTACAACTGGGGGAACAGTGAAACAAAAAGTAGACTGTTTGGAATCTGTACCAGAATATTAATGAGCTTAATGAAGATAAACATAAAAAAGGTAAATATGATGAAATGACATACACTTTTAGAATTTGTACTGCTCCCTCCAGAATAACTTCCGCTTCCACTCTCGCTGCGTATCGAATTATTGAGGACTCGTCATTCATCCATTAGAAACACATGAACGGAATAAAAGGAATTACCTTTGTGAAGAACCTTCATTGGAGGATGACACTAAAGGTTTTGCAGGTGGCGTTTTATCTTTTACTGTAACTACGTCCAGACTACCTAAGCTTCCTTTGGATCTCTTCAGGGGAGTCTTCCGCTTATTTTTGTTTGACTTATCTGTCTCCGACCCTCCAGCGCCAGATGTCTAATAATGATGAAACAGAATGGGAAATTTTAAAACATGAATCCCTATGCAGGACAATAATTGAATAGTGATAATCGTTAAGTAACAAGTTTGGCAGTAATGTTTCCAGACCCGAAATATAAGGACACAACAGAAAGACTCTAAGAATAAACTTCCGAAAAGTATCAGGTGAAATTGTTCTTTTGTTCTACCGAGCAATAGAGCAGCTAAAAGATGTCAATAACTTACAGGAGTTTGAACTGTCCCATTTGGTGCTTGAACAGGATATGGGCTGTATGGGTGTGAGCCCTGATGTGGAAACATTTAGAGCCATACAGAAGCATGATAAAATTATACAGCCAAGTAAAATAAAAGAGAGTGGACTACCGGTGGCATAGGAGCCTGCTGATATGGTGTGCCTTGAGCATACATTGTTGTGTATGGTGGCGGTGTCCCGTAAGGAGGCATCATCTGCCAGCGGATGAATTCAAATTAAATGTTAGAATACTAATTCCCCAAGACTTTCAGAGGTTGTACTAGCAAATAATGTCCTTCATAAGTATTAGAAAACCCTATGACTGAAGGTTAAAGGATTTGCCTAACTAGCACATCCATAGTTAACTAGCATAATTCTTGAATAACAGATTAAGTGATAGTAGCCATCCAGTCATTGATTACAACATTATGTCGAAAATAACAGTAATTAAACACTAAAAATATAGATAATGTACCTGTGGACCCCACATATATGGATGCCCCTGAGGACCTGGAGTCACCGTTGAATGAAAATAAGCCGGTGGGGTCATTTGAGCCGTACCAGGGACATTATAGTATGCCTAAAGATGTATGCTAGTTATTATAATAATAACAATAATAAAGATACTAGATCATTACAAAGGAAGGATGGTCTCATTCTATGAACCTGAAACTGGGACCAGTCAGGATATGCTGTACGAGGATTAGTAGGTGTACTCTGTTCATTCTGAAACAAGTAAAACAAGGTAAGATAGTGATAATAATTATTCATGCAGTTCAGTTTGTTCACACAGACCTGTGCTGTCGACGATTTCTGGGATTTGGACCTAGTGGCCACATCTCCCTTTCCCATTATGAATTCCTCGTCTCTAGTCCTCTCTTCCTTTCACCTCCTAAGTTACAGAAAGTAACGCAGGGTTTTCCCTTTATAGCAAGAGAAAACAACTTGGGTTGATGGCTATAGGCAACACATAATAAAGTCCATCAGAAATCAACGATTATCGAAATCAAGGACCTAGACTAACATTAAAATCTGCGAAGAAGGAACAAAGAAGATTGACACTACGCAGATAAGAAGTACATTGGAAATATCTAGTTCTGACCTACAAAAGGTAGAAGCACCGTCAAGTGGGAAATTCTACACCCTACATACCAACCAAGGGGTCATCCGGATAGTGCTGTTAAACAGTCAAAAACTGTTTCAACTGGAAATGTACAATTTTACGAGAAAAGCATGTAATGTACCAGGTTAGCGCTTTTCAATCAACTAAAAAAAGGACAGACCCAGTGCTAGAAGCTCCCACGCCAGGTGGGGTCTTAGGAAGGATTATATGAGGCAAGCCTTGCCCCTGCACAGTGCAATGCAGAGAGGCCGCACCGAGCCCAGGATCTCTTGGCACAAGTGAGGAGTACTTCACCACTGCGCCAGGCCTGTCCTTTCTCTTTTCAATCTTATATGGAAAACAATAGTTCTGAGAATCAGTTATAATGGGAAAAAAATGAGCATCTACGGCAATATGTGTATAATTAAAAATTCATTCTATTCTCTCCAATATGACTCAACATTGAAGTACTGTATATTTTATCACCCCAAGTGATCTTGTGAGATTTGGAAAGATTAGTTCTTGTTTTAAACTACTAAACTTGACAAATGTACACAAACAACAGCAAAACCACAACACCACATTGATTCTCCAACTCATGTACTCAGAAATACATATGCCGTGATTCACAGAACCAACTTTCGTTGCTTGATCTACATTGTGCACCTACCATACATCATTTAAGTGATCATGTTCACCAGAATTACTACAACTCTACTGGCACTATATATACCGCAGAGGCAAGAGGCTTTGGACGAATCATAATAAAAACCACATTCTAAGTAAAAACAAACAAAACACTCACAAAAATTCAGAAGCGATCTTACATCACTTGCCTTAATGGCTTCATTTTCCATTATATCTTTCATGGTGCTTAAACCAGATCTACCTCTTGCCCGAATGAAATTAAAAAGTAAATATATAGGCAAGCAAGGAGGCTACATCATGGTGATACAAAAGATAGAAATTTGGCATTGCAAGAACATCGGATAATCCAAAAGTGAATCAGAACTATAAAAGGCTAACATACATGAAAGAAATCCATGAAATGAAATGGCGAGCATATAAAGTTAAGGTAGCAGCTTCCTACCCACAGGCACCTTTGTTCTTTATGTGTCCTTCGTTTCGTAGATGGAGTGATGGAATCTCTAACAAGACCTGAATGCCACAGCGAATTTTCTTCTTTATTACAAAGAATATCATAGAATGTATTGATAACATTTGCTAAAACAAAGGATAGAAACACTAATTATACCTTGCTAAAAATAAACAATAACTATAATGTTCCAGACTAGCAATGCACATGAAATATCTGTATCCATAGCATGATTAAATTTATACCACAAGTATCCAATAAGATAAGAAGCGTTACCACCATTAAGCGATTGTCATTACAAACTAGTATCACAGGGTTCATCATCAGAGTCTATAATGGGAACTATATTAAGACCATCATGATGGTGAACTTTGAGAGCAAAAACTATTAGGCGGTGCAATAATTTTCTTAATTGGGCTCCTGCTTACTCTTAAGTTGTCCTGGCAATGAGATATAGGCATAATTGGTAGATGTTGATGGTAACTATTTAAGGTAACAACTTAGGGTGCCATCATCATCCAGCATATCCATCCAGCTGCATTTAGCGGTTAGCATTATGGGGTCTATCATCATTCATCAGCTATTATTTTTTATTAGTTGTAGCAGTTTTTTCCTCTCATATTTTTCATGTAAATTAAGGGGAGATGAAATGTCAAGATAGCCTTTGCCCCAAAGAATTTGTATAGCGTGGATAAGGGGTTGAGTCGTGCAGCCAGCATAGGAAACGGCAGGGGCCTCGACAGCATCATGGTGACACATCGCAGAGCGGACAATGGTGAGGCTGTCAGCCTGCCAGAGATGGATAAGGTACACAAACATGCTCTCTGTGCTAAAGAATCCAAGCGCAACTCAACTACTCCATCAGCAAGTAGTAGAGACCTCAAAACAAGTTCTCCCTGTGTTACTACCCCCATTCCAAACTATAAGGTGTATTAGTTTCTCCAAAAGTCAAATGTTCCTATGCTTGACCAAGTTTATAGCAAAATATATCAACATCTACAGTTATTAACAAAATATAATATGAAAATATGTTTTATAGTTAATCTAATAATAATGATATGATATTATAGACATTTGTATTTTCTCTATAAATTTGGTCAAAGTTAGAGAAATTTGACTTTTTGAAAATAATAATCACCTTATATTTGGAAACAGAGGGAATAAAAACAAAGAACCCTACTTAAATTCGACCATTTCATTTCCCTAGATCCATAAAGGTCACAGCTTCGCACCAAATTCCTTAATTCTTTTGGAGTAATGGAAGCCAACAGACCATTGTTCTTGAATCACGAAGCAACAGAGAATACCAGACCAAGCAACAAGAGTGTTAAACGTTTATTTTATTTTTGAATAGTTGCATCGCAAGACAGCTACGTGTTTCAAACAAGGTGATCGAACCAACTGGTAGAAATAAAGATATAAATTTCTTTTGAGGGAAAAATAAAGATATAAGTTCGTTGTGACTAAGATTTAACGCACTTGAACCTGCTCGGGTATTCACATTACATGATTATTAAGTACGCAATGGGCGACGTCGTGTCAAAGTGGCACGGGCACTAACAGCACTAAGTAATACGCGTCAGAACAAAATTAACCAACGGGGCAGACAGAAATCAAAAGTCTACGGAGCACCATAAGAAAGAATGGCAAATCCAGGGATCCTGAGGAGCAATTCCACACGACAATCCACCAAATTGGTCCCGAACACCACGCAGATCTAAGTAGCACCCCTAGCTGGCCCCAAATTCAGGGGCGGGTTTGGATTCGATTCCTCACGGGCGAGAGAGAACAGAGCAAATCCGACAAGGCTAGGGCTTTACCAGAAGAATGAATCAGCGGGGGCGGATCTCGGCTCCGCGCCGGCCCGGTGCAAGGGGGCAGAAGAATTCCGTGGAGGCGGCGAGCTTGCTTCGGCGGCAGGAGGCCCGGAGGCCGTGGAATTGGGAATTCTGGGTGGAGGCGTGGCGCATGTATGGAGATGGGAAGAGAAAATGGTCTGAACGCACTCCAATCGCAACGTCGGACAGACAAACAGGAGAGGAGGGCGCATAAAAAGAGGAATCGAGTGGCGAAGCGTGGTGTTTTACTACTTGTCCAATTCCTTTCCTTTTTTCTTGTCCTGGAGTAATGGCTAACTTTTTCAAGATTTCTTTTCTTTTGCAAATAATTTTGATTATATAATTGTACATAATTTTGGTGTGGTTAACATGTACTCTCTCTAAACGCTCTTATATTTTTCTACGGAGGGAGTACAATACTAGTATTATATAGGAGTATATGTCTATATATGCCAAATCCAACCTTAGTGTATCAACAAATAATCATAGTTAATTTAAAAAAACATATGTTTTCTTCTTCTTTTTTGCGAGGAAGAAATAATTGTAGCGGGAGCGACTAACCAACGGGCTAGTGCGCACTTACTTACCGACTAAGCATCGATTGCATATACTCCCTCCTTTCCAGTTTATAAGGCTTATTTAACTTTTTTTTTGTTTTTCCAATTTAAAAAGCTCATCTTCATTTCATTTTTAGTTTTCAATGCACATTAAATCTTTGCATGCAAGAATTAAAGAGGAACACATCAATGCATGTAATGTTCCTACTCATCTAGTGACCAAGCATGCATGCACTGCAATTAATTCAAATAATGCATAAGTTTAATTTGAATAGTTTTGTAAAGTACGAGATACATTCCTCCACTCACAAAATGCCTTGATTGATGAGATTTGAGCCTTATAAACCGGAAAGGAGGGAGTATCTCGCTCCATAGTATTTTGTTTTCGGGTTGGACCCCGTTGTATTTGTGCACGCGTCAATGTATTTTCTTTTCCTCCCACATAGCTAGTTTCATGTTTTTGCTTTCTTCTATCTTGAGAAAAGCAATTTGTAGTTTTTAGAAACCATCGAAAGCAGTTTGTAGCTTATAAAAATATGGACACCCATGTCTTGATGCCCACGCTCTGAGTGTTTGTGAGGGGTTTACACATAAAACCCTCTCTGCGACTGCGACTGTGAAGTATTACGAAGAATGAAATGTAATACATAAGAATAACCAATATACAACCATCATATAATTTCAAGTTCCAAGTGTGGGTATCTCTATTCAACAAGAACAACAAAGCAATGGTCAATACATCATGAACAAGCTGAACAGTAAATATTATCTACCTAACCGGATTTGAGGGTGGCCTACACACCAATGCTAGTTCAAGGCGCTGGCCAATGCCTTGATGCCCACACTCCAACACGGCTAAATTAACACAAAGAAAAACAATCATATTACTGGTGCAAATTAAGCGAGCAAACTTCAGTACAACGAACACGAATGAAGAGGACGGATGGTCAGCCGAATCGAAGGACAACAAAATCGACGTACAGTGAGAGTGCAAAAGAGGCGACACACGCCCAAGAGACCATGGCGCACCGATCGCAACCTCATCCTAGACCTTTCTCCAACGAAACAAGAAACAACCGTCGGCTGCCCCCGTGCTCCCGCTGCCATCGCCCACTTTTAGCGTGTAACAATAGCCGCCTGGACAAGAAGGATGCCGCACTGACACAGACCCGCAGTCAGACCGACGAAGAAGCTCATGAAAATACTTCCATTCGAGGAGAGCGAGAGGAAGCTGGTGTGCTCTGGTGAGAAGAAAATGA